AAAAAATGTTGCGAAGTGCCTGGAATACTAATGAACATGTTTCGCAACTTTAAAAATACTGAAATGCGAGCCGGACATTAATTTGTATTTCTACATCTTTCAGAAATTTTTGCTAAGACAAAAGTCCCCGAGGTCTTCTTATCGAATACCCTGAGGACTTTTTGTCAAAGGCCTGGACGCCTTCTTAGGCCAGGATGCTTATTTCGAGGTTGTATATATTTCAGAAGTTTTTCCTAAGACAAAAGACATGGAGTTCTTCTTATCTAAGACCTGGAGGACTTTTTGTCGAGGACCTAGACGACTTCATAGGTCAGGACACTTACTTAGGGGTTCTATATATTTTAGAATTTTTTGGTAAGACAAAAGACTTGTCTTCTTCTCGAAGACCTGGAAGTCATTTTATCGAAGACCTGGAAGTTTTCTTATAGAAAACTTAAGGAATTCTTATCGAAGACCAGGAGGTCTTATTATCATTTGTGCCAGAATCATTTTTTAGAAAAAAGCGAGTAAAAAATGGCTAGTTACATGACTAATATAGCATCTATCCCTAAATAAGGACCTATATGACCAGTTTTCTAAGGAAAAAGTTTATCGCACTCCAAGAACTAGGAGTACCAAAGTGTTAACAATTTGAAACCCCTTCAATCAAAAGTATATTCCGGATACAGGGTTAATATAGGGTCTATCCCTGAATTAGGACCTACAAGGACAATTTTCTACGGAAAAAGTTTATCACACTCTAAGGACCTGAAACCCCTTCAATCAAAAGTCCATTCCCTGGAAGGAACAAACAAATTCCCTTCTTTTTCCACTGAATCTATTACATTATTTTCCTAACTGAAAAAAATGACCAAAAAGCCCTTGACATTACGATTAACTATAAAACTTGTGTTATCAATGGTCTATTACGCATTCCAAAAAAACCAAAAACACAAAAAAATCGGAAAGTATGACCTCCATAAACTAAACCAGCTACCAAAAGGGTTGCAAATCCCTTTATGGACCCACAAAACTACCCATAACATTTGGTCATTTCAGAGAAAAGCTGCTCGACAACGGGTCATTGGCAACAGAACAAGTAATGAAAGGCGTAACGAATTAACTTGTTAACTTTTTGCACTAAAAATAACACATAGTTTTTGGGGGGCTAAAAATACACACACACAAACACCGAAAAAAGGATACAATTAAGGGTTAGCAGGATATCAGAGAAACATAAACATACAGACATATAATAGAAAACAATGTGACCTAATGAGCCTAACAAGTTCAAAATTATACGTAAGTGTAAAAGTCAATACAAGTTAAAAAAGTGTGTGTGTGTATGTTTGGAAAAACCATGCAGTGTGGAAAATCTTTATTTATGGGCCATAGAAAATTTATTGAACAAAAATAGAAAAAAAATCCACAACATTTTTGGGTGAAATTTACCCTTTTTTGTGTTTCATTTTGAAGATGAAAGGGTGGGTTGATGCTAATGAAATAAGTATTGTATAGGTGACGTAATAGTTGGTTATTATTTTGTTAAAGGATTTAATGTTTGTTTTTTTGCAACTGTCACCGTAAATATTTTTTTTGCGGGCCATGAATGTTCAAATATTGGTCTCATATTTCATATTTATGTGATCACATTAAGGAAGTTGTTATGCCGGTGTGAGTGTGTTTAGAAAACATACCAAAAATTGTTGGTGATTTTTCCTGCCATTACAGGAAAATCGGGGAAAACACACACACGAAAATGGCACGCGCAGTTTTTTTCGTTTCTAATGGCTGGTAATGAAATTTATGAAAATTGCTTAATAATTGAATTGCTGATCAAATTACAAAAGAAAAGGGTTTCTGGTTTTGATTTTTGTACCCCGGTTTTCTATGAATTTATACCGAGGTGGTTAGTGTAAAAAATCGAGCATTTTCACTGATTTGATTTATGTCAAATTTTATTTGAGACCTTGGCATTCGACGGGGAAGAGTGAAAAAGGGGTTCTTAAATAAACCAACCGTCATCATCGAATTATGGTAAAGGTAACGTGTGTTTTGCATACGTTTCCTTTTTGAACGAGAGAGAGAAATTTCGGTTTCCTTCCGTCAACATATACGTTGCTAAATGCACATGCAAAGAAGCAACGTTAAATGTGGTTTACTCCAGTTGAAGTAATTTTACACCACTTTAAATTTTTGTTTAGTTTTTAAAACTTTCAACTGAAAGCCATAAATCAACAAGTCTTAACTTGTTTCACGATGCAGGATACACATGAACAGAAATTGACTTAACGGAAACCGGATATCAACATGCATGCACAACATACACATGTTACACTAATCTAACGAATTTGGTGGTATTACAGCAAAGCTATTGATTTTTAGCTAAGCTTCCCCACTAAGGGCAGCACAAAAAATTAAAATTTTAAAAAAATATTCCGAAGACGAAGAAGAGCACCACATTTGTCAGCTTGTTAGCATTGCTATTAATCACAGTTTGTTGCACTCCATTCATTTTCGTTGGTTTTTTTCCTGGGATCCCATCTAAGGATATCACATACCTTCCTTACACATATGATTCATGATGTGCAGAAAGCTTGACTGTTTCTTCTACTTTTTTGCACAACGTATGTTGTTGTGTTGAATAATAGATTTATTATCCTTTTTGCTTTGCTTTGCTGACTTTAAAATTTTCTTCACTATAACATGATTTATGATCCTGTTAGCTTTTGGAGCAGCAGCAGTGGCAGCAACAGCATCTACTAACAAGTGACAATTCCAATTCATGTTTTCTATTTTGTGGCATTTCAAATAATCATAAATTATCCGGTTTTGGAATATATTTTAATAATAAGTTCTTTTCATCGTGGTTTTTATTGTTCGGATGTCAAGCGCATTATGGTGAGGGCTCAATTTGTACCGGAGCAGCTTTAAGAGTTGGTAAGCAGAATTTAAAAATTAGGTGGAATTTTTATCTCTAGAGGGAAAAAATCATCCACTGTGGCAGAGGGTTTTTTATGGGAAAAAGTCATTCTTTGGGTCAGAAGAATGTTTTTTTAAAGGAACGAATCATCCTCTGGCCCAGAGATTTTTTTCAATAGGATTAACTCATCCTCTGGCCCGGAGAAAAATTTTCTATAGGAAAAAGTCATTCTCTGGGCAAGATTTTGTTTCCTATAGAAAAAAGTTATCCTCTGGACCAAAGGAATTTTTTCTTTAGGAAAAAAGTTCATTCTCTCGACAAAAAGATTTTTTTCTATGGGAAAAAGTCATACTCTGGATCATTGAGATATTTTCTATAGGAAAAAATCATCCTCTGGGACAGAGGAATTTTTTACAATAGAAACAGGTCATCCTCTGGACCAGAGGAATTTTTTTTCCTGTTGAAAAAAGTCATCCTCTGGACCAGAGGAATTTTTTCCTTGTGTAGTAAGTCATCCTCTAGATCAAAATATTTTTTTCTATGGGAAAAAGTCATACTCTGGACCAGTGGAATTTTTTCTACAGGAAAAAGTCATCCTCTGGGCCAGAAGATTTTTTTCTACAGAAAAATTTCATCTTCTGGGCCAGAGGAATATTTTACTTTAGAAAAATGTCATCCTCTGGGCCAGAGAATTTTTTTCCTGTAGAAAAAAGTCATCCTCTGGACCAAAACAATTTTTTACTATGGGAAAAAGTAATACTCTTCACCAGTAGATTTTTCCTATAGGAAAAAGTCATTCTCTGGGCCAGAAGATTTTTTTCTATAGACAAAAGTCATCCTCTGGGCCACAGGAATTTTATTCTATAGGGAAATATCATCCTTTGTGTCAGAAGATTTTTTTTTATAGAAAAAAGTTATCCTCTCGGTCAGAGAAGTTTTTTCTATAGAAAAAGTCATCCTCTGGGACAGAGGAATTTTTTCTACGAAGATGCTCATTCACTAGGCCAAAGGAATTTTTTTCTGTGTTAAACATTTTCCATAGAAAAACGTCTCTTCACAGATGTGAAGATTTTCTATAGAAAATATTCCCTTACAACGTTCTCTTTTTACTTTTTTGATTTCTATTTTGACTTCTCTGCACTCATCCCACTTTAGTGCCTCTACTGAAGCTATTATCCTTTTAATTTAAATATATCCTTTGGGAAGGATTAAAATATAAACATTCAGCAACATGACAATGATAAAAACTCAAAAAGCCAATGCCACTTCAGGATTAACACGAATGTCTATATAAAGCGATAGACAGACACTTCTAAGCAACCACCCAGGAAACAATTTTACATATGTCTGGTAAAAGTATTTTCGTCCATTGTTTAACTGTGGCATCAAATGACGTTCTGGCAGGCAGGATATTTTCTATTACAGATAATGGTAAACTCAAACCTTTGTAAACCAAAAAAATCCCGCGTTAAATTGTCAGTCAAACTAAAAGGACATCAATGGCACAGGACAAAATAAATATCAACGAAACAATTTTAAAACAAATGAGCAAAAGGGGTTAGATAAGATTCGTGCAATATTTTAACCCTTAATTTGAAAAGATGGCAGTATATTTCTAATTCAATATTGACAATTACTTAGGCCAAGTGTAATCATTGTTTCCGGCAAAATGACAATTATTTGTCAAGTCATAATCAAATTTTGAAAATCTCTTAAATCCTCGAGGAAATTTTTAATCAAATCACTTGCCATAGAAGACCCAACACAGCTGTGTTTACTTCTTTAATCCTGGCCTGGATCCCAAACCAAAAGGATTAAGATCATTTTAAACAATAATGCTCGGAAAAATGAATTTCATGAATTTTTTTTTGACATGTGTTTGCTGTTATGGTTTAAAATTGTCAGAAATGTCATCAGGTTTTCGTCATTGAATATTGGCAGCTTCCCCCCAAGAGCTGCCCTGTACGCTTTCATTTGAAAACATGTTGCATCGTTAAAGTTTATGATTATGGTTTCTGACAGGAGATTTACAATTGTGGCAATTTTTTGTTCCAGCATACACACACTCACACACGGAGAGATATTAATATGTGTGAGCTTTTAAATACCCTGCAGCGAGCAGCTTTAGTAAAATTGTAGTGTTTTACTGGTGACATTGTCGCTAGTACTAGTGAAAAAGTATACCACAACCAATGTAATTTCCTATGGACATTTAACATAGGCTTGTCATAGGAGAAGTACCAGTAGACCTTGACTATATTGACTAAGTAGTTCTTTTGGGACTATATGGTGACATTTGAACCAAATAGTCACTAGAAAAAGATTATATCTTTTGAGATTATGTGATGACGTGTATACCAAATAATCACTACATTATATTGGGTTTCCTGAGCTATATGTAGACATTTGAACCAAATAATCACTAGAAAAAGATTAGATCTTTTAAGTTTATATGGTGACGTTTGAACCAAATAATCACTGCATTTTATTGGGTATCCTGAGCTATATGTAGACATTTGAACCAAATAATCACTAGAAAAAGATTAGATCTTTTAAGTTTATATGGTGACGTTTGAACCAAATAATCACTGCATTTTATTGGGTATCCTGAGCTATATGTAGACATTTGAACCAAATAAACACTAGAAGACCATTAGTCCTTTCGAGATCATATGGAGGCATTCGAACCAAATAGTCATTTGAGATTTTTAGGAAAATGCTTGTAATAGAATAAGTATTTAACAACGTTACATTTTTAACGCAGTTATTAAGTAACAAAAACAAAAGTAAAGCACAGTTCAATCTACACACAATATATTTAATTAATCTAAAACAGTCTGCGAATTTTAGGCAAGGTAATAAATTAAGAAATGGATTACATATATAGCTCACTTTTTTCAAGGCTGGCCAAACCTTGTCTTATTTTTAATAAAACTGAATAGTGTTAGAACTAGGATTTTAAAATTATATAGTATAACATAAAAACATTCAGTTAAATTTGTGGTTCTTCATCATTTTCATCTTGTTCCTTTTCTTCGGTGCGCCTGCTTCGTTTGTTGATCTTAAAATACTTTTTCTTTTGGCGTTGGAACGCTGCTCGTAAAGTCTTGTCAGGTAATTTATTAAATGTTGATATAACTTCTGTTTTATAAACTATATTTTAGCATTACTTATTTGAAACAAAAACAAACACGTTTTACCTATTATGGCGGCAAGTACATTACCAAAATCTCGTAGACCTTTTTTCCCGAAAGTTCCGTCAACATTAAAATCCATAATAATATTTCTTCCAAATACTTTATGCAAATTACGTTCAGCGTTACCTGCAATGAGATTTTTCATTTGTCGAGTCTGCAATTGTAAAAATTGTTTTAGTTATGAATTTGTTATTCCCAAAACGCAGATACGTACATATAGATCTGCTTGTGTTGCGAGAATTCGATCAAATTCTCGAAGTTTTTCTTCCGATTCAATTGGAAAAATTGTCATAATATTGTCCACAAATGCGTTCTGAGAAATAACACGATCCAGTAAAACTTTATGCTCCGCCAAAATATCAATAATCGTGTCTAGTTTTCTGGCATTTTCTTGGCAGGAAGAACATTTTGCATTAGCTATCAAAAATATGAACTCAATTTTGTTATACTGTTAAAAATTTAGTGATAATCTTTGGAGATTACCTTGTGGAGCAAAATATTTCATTTTTCCTTTGGAAGGGTTGGCATTTTCGTTCGACATGTTTAGGAGGTAAAAATTTGTGCTTGATATTTCTCTGGAAAGCAGGAATGTAAAATGGGCACGATTACAAAATCAGAATCAATTGGCAAGCATACAAATTTGAACTGAATGTCTTTAATACAAAATGTCTCTTTTTCCCCTAGAGTCAGATTCGTTTTGAAAATACCAATCTCACAAGAATTCACCGGTTCTTCGTAGAAACTTTCTAATGCCAAAATTCGACTGCCTTCAATATATATTTCGCCCTTTTTCTTTATATTATCAATTTTTATTGGAATGCATGAATTCACCGCGCAAATATTATCTGGTTCTTTGCAGGATATGTAGCAATCATTTACAAAAGCTCCAACGATAACACC